CTGTAGGCAAAAGACGATTAATGAGCGTTAAATTGTTGCTTGTCACTTCGACACTTAGTATGTCGGCTTTGCGATTTTTCGACAGAGAAGCAGTTGGCGCTTAAATTCGGCACACTTTTCACAGTTACTTGCTTATTCAGCTTAGTTGGTTGCTAGTTGAGGTTCGTTTATCACAAATTTCACTATTACTTTACTTCCAACTTAGGTTTTAGATAAATTGCATTTTTGAGGTGGTAACATGGTTACGTTGCTGCTGGATGAACTTCTCAACTAAGGGTTCCGATAATATGAAAACTATGTTTTTAAGTACTTGAGGTATATAGTATACTGTTGATGTTCCAGCTGCGTACACGTTCATGAAGCAACTCAAGCGTTTTAGCTGTGCCGACCTGAACATATGTTATTTTTGCAGTTAAAAAACTCATTAATATTTATAAATTTTTTTTCTTTAATAAAAACAAAACGAAGTATTATTTAAAGCCAATTAAATTAGCTTAAATATAAAATACTTAGCCGTAAAGCGGTAACTTTATGTTGTTGTTATTTTTACATTAAATTTATGCGGTAATGAAAGCGAAACACATTTCTAAGGCTTTATATTTTAATTACTATTTTTTTGAAAGTACTTATAATAACTTTTTTAATAACTATAGTTTTCCTTATAAAAAAATATATTTAAAATAGTTGCCTGCGTCATACGCACCAAATCAGATCTTAGGTTAATTGAAGGTTTTAAAACTAAAAATTAAAAATTAAGATCAGTCGGTTGTTTTTTTTTCTTAAATTTAACATGATCATATGGGTAATATGGGATGAAAGTGCAAAATAAGAGGCATGTAATATTAATAAAATGTCAAATAAGAAAATATAAAAATGACTTCTTTAAAAATTTGGACCTAACAGTCCAAAATACCGCTGCTCTCGAGGATATGCGAGAGCTATATACTATAACTATAATGAAGTGCTCGAATAAAATCAGTGATAGTAAGGTAATATATAACAAAAGTGGTATGTCTATTACGAATAAAGAGGAACAAACCGGTACTTCCAACGAACACTGAACGTTGCACATGACGTTGGAAATGTGTTAGACTCGCTAATACGTAGACGCATCAGTGCAAGTCACACTGAAGCTCTTATCGCAGAAGAAATCAAAGTGCGATTGCTAAATTTAGAAATTGAAATAATAAAAAAAATAATAGCATGGGTATAAGAAATTGAAAAAATCAAAAAAATCTTACGCAAATGTACACACTGTTTTCTTTTTTTATATATGACTAAAGTTGTAAGATGAATACGTTTTCTATATATCCTTCCCATTCTCTTCAGGAACCTGGAAATCAACACATTTTTTGTTTTAAAAACTATTAAAAGACGATTAATAAAATTGATTAAAAATATTGTGAATTGTGAATGGTAAAATTACTCCTGCACCTCTGTACATCATATATTATGTTGAAGCTGCTTTGAGTTAGTGCACTTAAGTACTTATACACTTTTTATTAACTCGAGGTATTTTCAAAACCCCTCTTTACACCTTGACTAGATTATTGTTTATCACTTCATCAGACTAAGCAATAATTGACCTCAGATCTGCATACCTCCCTGAGGAGCCTGTAACCATTTTGAGATTTGATAACGGGGTATTGGTAAGTCTGTCAGTTTTCGCAAATAATTTCAGGGCTCTATCCTTTATGTATTTTTTGATGGGATCAATCTTGATATTCCTGAGGATATCATTCGTCCTAATGTATCATGGAACTTTGCAAAGTCTTCTCAGAACCTGGCTTTGTGCATATACATATACATCATATACAGCTAGTTTGGGAAAGTGTGTAGAACCCTACTATGTCCGTTGTGAGATCTACTCAATAGTCTCTTCGTTTAAGCCTGACATTTCGTATGAAAATGAAAATCATATTGAGACCAGTGGGTAGAAGATTTAGTGTACATTTTGTCTCAAATTATTTGTAAGGTCTAATTTTTATTTATGTTTTTTTGAGTTAAACTGTTAAAGCTCTTAAATTTGTCAAATCAAAATTTTGACATTTAAATGTCAGTCAATTTAAAAAATATTTTATAAATGTATTATTTTTGGCAAACGTTCAAAGGAAAGCATATATATTTTTTAAAAGTTTTTATTTATAGTAGTACTGACTAAGTAGATGCTACAGGTGGTTAATCATAAATAATTAAAATTTTTTTAACTAAGTCTTTATTTTAATTATTTATAATTTTTAAAACCGTTTAAACAAATATGAATTTTTAAATAAATACTGAAATATTAAAAAAAAATAATTTTATATAATTGCTTAAATGTATATATTCTTTTTTATATTGCTTTGGCTTTTTTAAATGATTATCATAAAATTTTTTTTAAATTTTTTAAAAATATGGTTTTTATGTTGGAACGACATTTTCTGATACTTTTCTATGACTAATGAATATGCACGATTGAGTACGCCATGGTTCTAATGAGGTAGAAAATAAAACATTTTTCTTATGTTTTATTTTCTTTCTTATTTCTTATATATCATATTTTTTAGATGACAAAAATATATAGAAAACTTTAAAAATATTATCCGGTATGGTAAACTAACAATTTTATATCCTAAATGTCACTGTTTTTGTCAATATCAGCGCTGATCCATAAATATTCATTAATTACTGACTTGCTTACAACAAAATGATCATATTGACTTGTTTTCCATGATACTTTAAATATCATAAGATATGATCAACGCATATAAGATATAACACCTACACAGGTGGAGAGGTGTAAATGATACAATTGACATGTGCCGTGACGGTTTCAACTTAAAATGTTGCCATTAATAATTTGCCTTACAATCTTGCTGAGTGCAATTTTGCAAGACTTGAGGTAAAATGTAGAATTGCCTGCAATCAGTTTTTTTTGGCGCCAGTCCATGTTAAGAAAAAAAAATAATTGCAATGAACGCCTACGCCTACGCACTTGAGTAAGTGAATTCATTCGTTTGCTGCACTGAGCTCTTAAGTTTCCTCATCTCACCGCATAAACTGCTTAAGCTCAGGCGTACACAAACTTTTAATTATAAAAATAAATTATCCAAAATATGAGCAAAAGGGTTTAATTATTTTCTTTTTTAACTTTATCTAAAGTTATTATAAATATTTTGTTTTATATCTAAATAGAACATTCTGAAATGTTTGGCTAGAACTTCAAAAAAAGTAATAATAGCAAAATAAAAAAAAAACAAACTTGCTGAATATATTTGAAAAATTTCACTTTTTTAAGACATTATAAACTTTAAAAAACTTTAAAAAAAACCTTAAATCTAACTATTGTTTAATATATGTGTATATAAAATTTCCCATTTTTAAGATATATAAATTATATGGATATATATAAAACATACTGCATTTAAATTATATATCTATTTTAGATTAGTGATAATTTTTATCGCATTTCACATTATACCGTCACTAAAGTGATTTAATCAGCAATGATAACTTTCTATATTGTAATTTTTATTTATTTATGTATTTATTTTCCTTAAAAAGCAAAAAGTATATAAAGAAATGTTGCTATCCAACGGAAAAAGTTGCGGTGTATAAAATAGCTCGAAGTCCATAGAGCAATAAGCTGACCATGTGAAGGTCAAATACAGTAATCATCTCTATGACTTCATGTTACTTTGTAAAATACTTTTTTTTTGCTTTTTTTTTTTATTCATATCATTCTTTCTTCCTTGTTATCTTTACAGACTTCAAGATTTTCCTTGAAGTTTGACATTTTGTAGAATTGTATTTTTTTACACAATTTTCACAATGTTTTTTTTTTATTTATTTATTTATCAGAGTTTTCTTGATATTGTCAGATTTAATAAGTTAATGCGGTCAATTGATTTTTCTTTTTTACTTTAATTGTCAAAAAACTTTTTGCTAAGTTTTTTGCTAGTCAAGTTGTCAACTATAAGTTGGCATTGACAGTGACAGTTCTGTAACCAATTAGTTTTATGTCAAACTTTCTTTGATTTCTGAAATGCTATGTTAGTAAACCATAAATTCGTAAAAATTTGACTTCGCTTTATTGCAGCGTCGTAATTTAATTAAAAGTTAGTTTTCTATTTATTTATTTTTTTTTGTTAATAATATAGCTTTTTTTATGCGCTGCACACATATTTCAGCAACAATTCACTTCACTTTCACACAATCTCCAATTGCTATTCTTTTTGTACCGGCAACGTGAGGCCTGTCAATGTCACAGCATATGCTACTGTCTGGCTGTTGTCTGCCAGATTCGCGGCCACAACCATCAGCAACCTCTAATGCCATTGCCACAAATTGCCTATGGTTGCTGCGTCTGTTGCACACTACCCACTGCAGCAATATAGTCGTATCTTGTATTTATTGATTTTGTAGCTGGAATTTTGGTTTGAGTATAGTTTGTGGTTTGGACAGCATTAATAGGGATAACAAAAAAAAATTGTCTTTCAGACTGTGAAATCCCTGAAATATGTTTGCTTGCTTTCTGTAGCATTGCAGGAAGTAATAAAAAATTCCCAGGCTCAAGTTTAAATGATTTTTATTAAAAATTCTCATAACTTTCAAATTGTGTAAAGTGAATAAATTTAATAATTTTAAGCTTTATATTAATTTTTTTTTGTTTCTATTTTTTGTTACAAAAGGCCATAAACTTGACCCTCGTGCATTGTTTATGGTTTTTGTTGTTAGAAAAACTCAATGTCAAATTGCTAATTTGAGTAAAATGTCACTTTTTCATATTGTTAACATATGTTGTTTACAATTACTGTTGTCTATATATTTTTTTTAAATTTTTATTAAGTTATTTTATTATTTGTTTTTTTTTTTTAATTGAAAAATTTTGATATCATAATATACATAGATTCTTTCAGCATAAATTAGTAAATATGTATTTAAATATTGTGTTGAGATATTTCTGTTCATTTTATGTATTATGACCAAATTATTTGACTTGAGTTTTATTTTAATTTATAGGTCACACATCGAACAACTGGTGAGGTGATGGTACTAAAAATGAATCAATTGCGTGCAAATCGACCAAATATGTTAAGAGAAGTCCAACTACTTAACAAATTGTCACATCCAAATATATTAAGGTAAGCTACTTTACTATTTTTGACTACTTTAACTTAATAGTAACTTAAACTTGGTAAAAATATGTAATATGATAAAAAACTAATCATTCATATACATGTACATTATGTTTCGTACATTATGTACATTAAGTTGTTAAACTGTGTGATTCCTTGGTCTAACAAACGGGAAAAAAACTTTTCGAAAATGGGTTCATTTTGAATATTAAAAAGATATATCAAATTGATATACTACGTCAAAAAAAGAGAGTACATGAAAAAAAGTCTTGATTAAAAAAAAAAACAACTTAATATCTCATAATTATTCGTCTAAATAATTCACATACTAGTTTTTACCCCAAACAATAAATTAACATGGATTTAAAAATTATAGCAACTCAAAGCTGGTTTCTTTTAAAAAAAAAATTGTAAATGTTCTTTATTATCAATATCTAATTAGTTATAGTTATGAGTTAGATAGGTAGATACTTATGTTCGTCGACTTTCTAATTTGAAGCAATTGAAAATTGCTTACAATAGGTAATTGAAGAGATTTGCTTAAAACTCTTTTCAAAAGAAACGCTCTAATTTATTTTTTAATACTCATAGCAATTTATCTACCATCTTTGATTTATCTTTAGTAATTTACTTCTTAATGATTTATTCTTAACTCTTTCATATATTAATTGTTCATCATTTAATCATTTATTATAAATTAATACTTATTAATAATCTGTTTTTAATTATCTGTTGTAATTAGTTAATCTTAATTGTTTATTTATTTGTTGTTTAATAATTTTTTATTTCTATTTGAAGAGGTATTATCTTATTTATTGTTTAGCTTATGCTAATTTGAGACCCTCTGGATATTATTAAGGATATTAAAGTAATTTCAAATCATTTTACACAGCCCACCGAGAAAAAAATTTTTAATTTTTAATTTTCGTTTTAATTTCATATTTTTTTGACAAAAATCTACTCAGAACAAGACTAATAATATAAGAAAACGAAGTAATATAATAATATTATTTAGAATTCTTAACTTATTATACTCATACTTATTTATTCTGTTGCTTTTCTATCTGTAGTTTTTTAAAATATTTTTAATAACGTATATCACAAACTTACATATACCTATATGTGCATAATTATAAATGTTCTCATCTCTAGAAAAAAATGTATATATAAGCACATAAATTTCAAGTTCATATCTCGGGCATTGATTCGTTAGACTTTAGAACTAATTAAACAAGTTTAATTACTCTCATCAGCTCACATGTAGCCTGCGTGCGTGTGCACAATAAACGCAACTTAACACTCGATTATAAATGCAGTAAAATCAGGTAATTAATTTGAAAAAAGACTTAATTGTGCCCTGCCCGTCAGAGTAATTACTCGATCAGAGTACACATTAACATCCGCATTTCGTTGTCACTAAGCTGTGATTGTGCTAATTTTTTAGTGACATTATCATTACTTGCTTTTTCTGTATTGTTATTTACATATCATCTATATTTAATTTAATTTAATATTATTTAATTAAATTTTTTTTGTATATGATATAAGTAATGTGTACCGTAATGTACATTTATTCGCTCGTGCTACAAACATATTTGTTATAGGTCAGTGCCATTAAGTAATTGTGATTCATGCTGATGTCATTTGTTTACATAAATACATTCAATCTAAATAAATTATCATAAAATATGTTTGTATTATATAAATAATATGCAGTTAAATAGCTGTAATTCAATGAAATAAAATAAAAGCGCGCGTAATTGATTAATGTTCTACAATGCAAACTTAGATTATGCAGTTTAGTGCAATCAAGCAAAGTAATTAAGTAATTAGTAAGTTCAATTAATAATTTATTAATAATTTTAGTCTACTAATATAATTTATTGCTAATTATTGAGCTCGTATATTTGAGAGCTGAAATCTTTTTTATATGCTATCAAATAGTTACCATGCAGTTTTTAATTGGAGTGTAATATGAGATTTCCTGTGTGTAATTCTAAATAAATTACTATTAAAAGAAATTAGCCGTTACTAACTTATATGAGTAAAAGAAAAAATCTTTGAAGAATTTTCTTAGATGTTATTATATAGATACATTTTATGTTAATTAAAATATAATTTATTAAAACATAATAATGATGGTAGTTGCTGTTTTTAAAGAAACCGAGTTTCATACCAACAATGTAATGGATATACTAGCATGGGGATACTTAGATAAATTAAGTATCATTTTAATCACTTTGCTATAAAAGTTTTATATTATAAACGTCTAAGATATTAGACGCTAGATATTAGACGCTAGAATTAATAGTTTATTAATATAAGTTCAATTATTATGGTTAATTTGCTATTTTGTGAGTAGCTTTTAACCTAAAGCTAGTACCTAAATGCTGAATTAACCATAATAAAGATTTTTCTAGATTAGTTGTGTATATAATAGGAGATTTATGTAATAGATTGTAAATAAATAAATTTAATAAAACTAAAATTTAATTCATTTGGATAAAAATGAAGAAAGTAAGAAAAACATTGAATTTGTTTGTTAAATGTTTTATGAAAATGTTGATTCATAAAGTTAATCTATATTGTATTTGCAAATGTAATGGCAAGAGACTTATTTTTACTTATAATAATAATTTTTGATCCATCTTTTATCCATTTATTTTATACGATTACATTACATACATTCGTATATATGTATATTAAAAATAATTTAATGAACTTAACCGTCAGATTAAGTTCATAAAGGCATATTGCTTAAACATTGTCATTTTGCATTATGCATTTATGCATAATGCACAAAATATTTGTAGTTGTGACTGCATAATTGATAAAATGTATGATTCATAAAGTTTTTATATGACAGCAGCAGCTCTTGAATATTTTGTAAATCTATTTACTCTTAAATGCGTATATGTTAAATATATGATGCATCCGAATTATTGACTACACATGTCTATAAATTTTTTTTAAATTTAAATTATTATTTCATTTTATAATTATGACATTTTTATTTTTTAACTTTTTTTGTTTTATGTAATTGCTAATAAGTCTAGACAGAGGGGTGAACACATATTTTGTTTGCTGCCTCCCAATTTGTGTTAAATCTAATCATTCGCATTCTTCCATTCTATAGGATGACGGTTATCAGCTGAAAGCCCCTGGGGGCAACACACCTTTTCATTTGTTTTGGTCGCTTGTTTCTTCCATATCCAAAACCATTGTTATTTATTCAGCCTAAACAATTTAAAATTTATTATTCATCGCATCGGAGATTGCGGCTTTTACTCTGTTAATTGGTATTGCTCATACATTTTATGAGGATAGGTCAGTTATGTCAAGAAATTATAAATATGTTGTATATACTTACATTGTAGACCACTAAATATTTTGCAATTATACCTAATTTCATGTTTTGTTTAATTTTTTAAAACTAAGTTAGGAAGCTAAGCTAGGAATGAGTCAGATTTGGACTGATATCACGCTTTTTTTTACGTAGATGATTTATATTTGTTTAGTTCGAAAATTTTAGCAGAAAAATTGTATTCACTATTACTGTTTACAGTTAAAAATTGAGAATTAATAATACTGAAATAAGTAGATATGAATAACTTTTAATTGATGCATGCAAGTTGAAATATAATGTCTTAGAACGATACTTACAAAGTACATGAGACTCTTATTTGTCCAACTTCTCCAATGTATATTAAATTCTCTAAACAAATCTATTCCATATTCTATTGTATTTTTAAGTAATATATATAGTGTATACTAAAGTTTTAAAATCAATATTCCTCCGTATTGTCTGCCATCTCCATACTTAATTTTTCAACTAAAAATTGTTTTTAACACTATCTCTCTGTTTAAATTTTTAAATAAGATGTCGTGTTAATTGCTTCAAAAATAGCAAAAGCTAAAGCAATTACATAAATACTGAAAATATCACAATTTAAATTAAAATCTCTCTTGAGTTTGTAAACAATGCGGCGTCTTTAATAAAATTTACAACACCAAAACTGAACACTGATCGCTAAGTGGTGTACAAAGGTCAAGTTCATGATACACGGCAAAATTTAAATTACCACACTACCACATTACCTATTACCAAGGCTGAAATCAGCAATCAGCTTGGCTTGGATATGCGTTAAAACGCAAATATTTTTGCCGCCAGATGGTGTAGTTGCTTAACTATTTAATGGAGTGTTATGGAACCAACAGTATTTTTTCGTTTACTTGTTTCGTGTAGATATATCGAGTGAACAATTTACTTATGCTTATACGTATATGTATGTAAATTCTCTTCTTATGTACAATAAATAATGTGTGTCTTGTGTAGATGTACGAGCTTACGAAACACGCGAGGTTTCTATGGAACTGTTAAAGTTTCAATAGAAATATCAGAGGATACTAGCTGCATAAAAGGTCATTTATCCACAAGATTTAATGCGCTTTAATAAGGATATGCATAGTTAATATAGAGGAAATTATTTTAATTATTTCAAAACTGCAAGGGATGTACTGCTATGGGGTTCTATTGAAAATACAAGGTGAGATGTAAAAACTGCAACAAAGTAAAACGCCATAATTTTTTCATTTTTTTTAAATTTTATTGAATGAAAGCAAAAAATGTCGGAAATAACATCAAATTTGAGAATCGGTTTAGAATTGTTCGAATTGGCCACCTTTGGCACGAACTATGGCCTTCAAACGGCCAATGAAACCATCACACGCTGCCCGAAAGTGGCTCTGTGGTATTTTGTCCCATTCTCGGCGAAGCGCTTGCTTGAGATGATCGACACTTTGGTATTTTTTAGTGCCAACCTTGCTTTCCAAAATACCCCAGGCACAATAGTCCAACGGATTGGCATCCGGAGATTTTGGTGGCCATTGTGCGGTGGAAATGAAGCGAGGAACCTCATTTCTTAACCATTCTTGGGTGGCGCGTGCTGAGTGCGATAGTGCTGAGTCCTGTTGGAATGTTCAAGGTCTGCGGCCGAAATGTTTGC